CTTTTCTGTTAGTCCTGACTCATACTCACCACACCATAATCCCCCCTGGTGATGGTCACGCTGATTACTGACACTTGGGTATTACAAACACACGCACATGCACATGTTTTAAGTTAGTTTATTACTTTACACGTATGATATGATAAAATGAAGACGGGCAGGGCTCAGCTAGATCTAATGCAAGTGAGATAAACAAGGCTGTTAAAAAAGCACATCATCTCAAGAGAAGCAAAGAAAAAGAAACATCTGGAGTAAGAGAAATAAATAAAATCAAAATATGCTTTTTTTATGATTTTATTTGCAAAGAACTCATAGCAACTTACAGGACTAAGGACAAAGTACAAAAAAGAGACTTTTCTCGTTCAAAAAACATACACAAAGATGACTCATGCATTGTCGTATGTTTAAACTAACACACCCTTCCAGTCTGCCAGGCAGGAAGACACACACTCAGCTGGGCATTGTGTGGAAGGGGGCATGCCACTTGGCCTCGCTCCGTCTTTCACACACACATATGCACACACTGCTGGGTCAGTCAGGCATCGCTCCTAACAACGGGTGCCTGGTCTTCGTGTTTCCATGGCAATCTGTACCAGCAATCTTCCCACGGTGGCAGCGGAACCAAGCGCTAAGTGCTGCAAGCAACTGTGTGTGTGAGTGCGTTGGTGTGTGTGTGTGTGTGTGTGTGAGCGTACAGAGAGCGCTATCTTGTCCAGTGAAGAGCCCAGATGTTCAGACACTCACTGGGCTGATTCCTCTCTTGACCCCTCAGTGCCTGCCCTCATCTCTGCACACACTGACATACACACAGGATAGATTTCAAAATATTTGGAAGAAAATGGTTGAGGATCTATTGGTAGAAATTGGAATATAATATTCACATGTATTAGTGAAAAAACCCTGAAAATTGGAAACGTTTGTTACCTTAAAGCCTTTTTATCAACAGAGGGAGCGGTCCGCCATGTTGAACTGCCTTGTAACCTACAGCCACCATAGTTTCTGCTTGGAAGGGAGGGTGAGGCGAGTTGGTTGTAATCTGCAATCTCCAGTATATAGGTTTTTCAAAATGACCAGTGTGTAGGTCTTTTTCTGATGTATACCAGAAAAAGCTGGCTTGTTATGTCTTGTGTTCTTGCACTTGATAGATTTTTGGCTGTGTTAGCAAACTTGTCAACTCGCTAGTTTTTGATCATGAGCAATGCAATCATAACAAATGCACTTGTATAGCTGTCCATATTTACAACTGTGCTGTTGAACTGTGGTTGCTTTAAACCAGTGTTGGTACAACTACATTCGTAGGGTGACCCTGTTTGTTAACACAGGAGGCACATGTATTCCCAATAATACAATTAGTTATTGTTATTCCACTGCAAAGTGCAAATAATCAGTGTGTGCATGTCCGTGACTATTTACTAGGTTGATATTGATATAAATATATTACAGAAAAGGCTAAACTTAATTTGATTTACATTTAAGTGGTATTATAGTATTATATTATATTATAGTATTTTCATTCTAAATATTGTAGTATTACCACAGTATTAGTGTAGTAGTGTAGTATAAAATAAAGAATAAAATAGTGTAGTATTTTATTCTCCCCAACAGGAAGAAGGTGTGTATAAGCCTGTCGACAATTTATTTGTATAAGAAAAATATTGTAACAATAAGCACTAATATAATAATGATAATTTTATCAATTTTATAATTAAACCAGTTCATAAGAACAGAGTTGGA